AAAAAACAAAAAAAAAACAAGTGGACAAAAAAAAAAACAAAAAAAAAGTGTGGAAAAAAATCAAAAACTCGTATTAAGTGAATACGTTTTCTTCACAAAATTAATTGAAAAACGTATTATGAAAATACGTTTTCCCCATGAAAAACGTATTTTGAAAATACGTTTTTCAATTAAATTTGTGAAGAAAACGTATTCACTGAATACGAGTTTTTAATTTTTTTCCACTCTTTTTTTTTTGTTTTTTTTTCTGTCCACTTGTTCTTTTTTTGTTTTTTATATATAAATTCCGTTTTTGTTTTTTGATTTTTTTCCACTCTTTTTTTTTGTTTTTTTTCTGTCCACTAGTTCTATTTTTGTTTTTTATATATAATTTTTTTTGAAAAATTTAGGTGAAGAAAAATATTTTAATTCCAAATGACAAATTTGCTATTTGGATTTAAAGAAACAGACCATATACCTAAATGTCACTACCTTGACGCCCTTTGTACAAGGGCCAAGGTAAATATCAGTTCAAGTTACTTTAAGTTTAAATGTCACTATTTGCAGTTCGAGACCATATATATAGATCCTTTTTATCATAATGTTTAATTATTTGAATTTTCGAAATAAAAAATATCTTTTAAAAAAAAATATGTATCAATTTTTCAATCATTGCCCGTAAGTAGGTAAACTCGCAAGATCTTACCCACAGATTCATAATGACCTAAATACAAGATCAAATATTCCACATCACAAGCTAACGTTATTTGGCGTTCATATATAATCACCATCTATGTTCAATGTTTTTGTACTACTCACCACATATTTATTTATCTATACTTATATAAAACGGGATTCTATTTACTACATTTAGTATCCAGAAAAGTCAACTACATTAAATGCCATTACTATTTCGGTATTAATATTTTATTTAACTGATTTATTTATCTATATATATAATAAGATACCATTTTTAAAAAATGGCAGGTCAACTATATAGTCAAATTCTCTCATCATTAATTACTTTCCATTAATTACAATTTATTTATTTATTATTTTCTTAACAAAAACGGACCAACATTAATTGATTTCCTTAAAATGTGGAAGTTGTTGCTTTATTTTTGTACAAAAAATTCGGACTTCATTATAGAAATTTGTTCAATTAGACAATGAATTTGCTATGATATAATTATTTTTTATGGGAACTTTTCTTTTTAACAGAAAAATATGGCATTTCAATAAGATTTTCGATTGTTTAAGACTGATTGTTATCATGCTATGAAATTGAACATTCCAATATACCTTAACAAAATATACACGTGTTGTATACATCAGTTAATAGAAATATAGAATCTTTATATTTTTATATATATGTATGTAATTTTTTTATTACCAAATTTAATTGATAGTTGTTGTGTTATGGGTTTTTCATAATTGTTACTTGGTTGTTGTGATATTTAGTTTGGTTGGTATCGCAAAAATTCTAATCTATATATATAATAAGAATAATCATTATAATGCAAATTAGAAAAAATATTGATATTAGAAGAGATTGAATTCATGACTTTTCTTAAATCAAAGTTGTTTAATTAATATACAAAATTAAATTCTAAAAAAATATATGTGTATATTTTGTACATTATTTATACACTATTTAATTTTAAATTTATTTACATATTTTAAATTGATTACTTATATAAATAATACCAACGTGCATTAAATATATTTCATTACATAAAATAAAAAGAACAAGAAGACGTGCAACTTCTATAACTTTATAAATAATAATGACATTATATGGCAACAGAGTTTATAGTAAAAATAATAATTAACTATTATATAGTGAACAAAAATAAGTAAAATTGTTATTTTTTCTTATATCAAGAAATAAATATATATAATAAAATTAAATTTATATTAGTATAAATATGTTAGTGAGATAATATATTAATTATTTTACAAGTTAGCTCTAACATGCTCATGTTTAATGTTCTGACTAATAAAACAACGTTGATTAAAAGATGTGAAAAATAGATTACAACATTATTTTTTTAGACTTAACGGTGATTTAAAAAGGTGGAAAATGGATGATAACCCTTTTTAGACTTAAACGGGACATAACGGTGATTAAAAGAAGTGGAAAATGGATAACCCTTCTCAGACTTAAACGGACAGAACTTGTTAAAATAATTCATTTAATATCTCTCTTCCGTGCATCGCACGGGGTACGTACTAGTTCACTTTAAAAGTGATCCCACCACCTATTTAATCTATAATTAATGCATCAAACTTTCAAAGGACCATAAAATCTGGCCAGGCGCACAAATCTAGGACACATAAATGATCTCATAATTAAAACATACAGTACACAATTTCCGAAATTAGGAAAGAAAATTAAGTCTGAGTAATATTAATAGTGACACTAATTAAACATAATGATAATCCCACCTGCAGCAGCCAGGCAGCCTATAATTGACTCAATAATTAAAACCTAATCACACTCGTTTTTTTAATCACTAGAAATAAGAATTAATTAAGATGATTAAAACACAATAAATTATTAATAGTGACACTAATTAAACATTATCCCACCTGCAGCAGCAAGGCAGCCTATTGACTCAATAATTAAAAACTAATCACACTCGTTTTTTCCTTAATCACTAGAAATAAGCAATTAATTAAGAATATGATTAATTAAAACACGGACGAATCAATGGGCGAGTTGACGGCGTTAAGGATATTACTCCAGTAATTAATCTTGTAACTATCTTCCATATAAACCGCGTTCTCAGCCGGCCCGTCAGCAAACCCCTCCAAAAAACTCGGAAGCCAATCGATCGGCGAAGTATTATCGGGCACAACTCCCGAGACCTCGTTGACCAAATTCCCGATAATGGGCTCAGGCCCAGTCTCATGGGCGGGCTGCAGCCCGTTAGGGAAGCTGAGTATGGATGTCGGGGACTCCAGCTGGTTTGGAGGTCCGGAGAAGAATTGTAGAATGCCCGTTTTGCCCCTGGTGGCTTGCCACACCTTGAGGATGTCCAAGCATGGTGGGCGGGAGTGTGGTGGGCCATGGGTGGAGGTTTGGGTCATGATGGAGTTGGAGATGAGTTTGGACTCGCGTACAATGCGGGCCTCGGCCTCGAGACGGGCCGTCTCCCATTGGGCCATGTGGCTGAGGTTGGCGATGTCTTTGGGCTGGGCCCAGCCTAAGGAGTGGCTCTTGGGCCTGTGGGTGGTTGGGTCTATGCCCATTTTGGTCAGCCGCTTCTTCAGGTGGGTGTTCCAGTAGTTCTTTATCTCGTTGTCTGTTCTTTTCGGGAGGTGACTTGCAATGGCTGACCACCTACAATATATATATAGATATATGTATAATTAGTCGATTAATTATTATTATTATTAGGGATGATTAATTAATTAATTAATTAAGAGAGGGTTAATTATTTCATGATATAGCAACCATAGGGAGCCATATCAGGCATGGCATGAACAAAGTAGCAAGGGAATTTAATTCCACATGGCAATGCTTTTGTTTCTCTATATATATTGAGTTATTTATTTTCATTTTATTTGTTACCATAAGTTAAACTTAACAGACATCTTATCTATTGATCATCCATAAAAGGCCAAACAACCAATAAGAATGTTGTTAAACTCTTTTGTTCGGTTCAAGTGTGTGCCTATATTAAAGTAAACTTGTTGAATTATTTATGGATCATTATCAACAAGACAAAAAAAATAATAATAATAAATAAATATAAAGCAGACCTATTTCCAAGAAGTGCATGAAGCTGGATGATAGTCTGTTGTTCTTGCAAGCTAAACTCTCCCCTCTTAATGTCTGGCCTCAGATAATTTGTCCATCTCAGTCTGCAGCTTTTCCCACATCTCTGAAGCCCTAAAATTAACCACCAAACAAAATAATTCAATAAAAAATGTAAGATATACTAATATCTACTTGATTTCGTTACCTATGCTAACCAACAAATACGAAATAATAAATTTACATTCACTATATCGAAAATTTTAACCGTAAACGTTACATTTTCTTGATCTAACAATAATATTAATTTTAACCATAACTAACACCGAACCATGCACGAACGTAACTAACGTGCCACCATGCACGACAAAAAAATAATAAATAAATAAATAAATTGCTATATATCTCATGCATGCTCTACAGAAAAATATTACTGCAATTAACACTAACCGGCTTTAGGAGGAAGGGCTCTCCAGCTGCCATGGCCGTGTTCTTGAATATAAGCAAGAAGCTTTTGGTCCTCTTCAGGTGTCCATGGCCCTTTCTTCAAACCCACTTTATCACAGCAAGGGGACCTTCCCATTTTTCTTCTTCTTCTTATTATTATTATTATTTTTATTTCTCACAAATATTAAGCTAAACTAACTGGCTTGTGAAATAGTTATAAAAGCTGTGGAGAATAAAGAACTTGTTCTGTGTGGGAAATGACAAAGTCCCAAGAGGTCCTAGAATTTATATAACAAATGGAGTATTTAATGTGTGAAAGAGTGGTGTACTTAGGGTTTGGTTGGATTTATATTGTGACAACAACTAAATTTAATTTTTTTAACCTAGAAAAAAAAAAATGCTGGGAGAAAAAAGTGAAAAACTGACACCAAATAAAAGGCGCAGATATTACATAGTCCGAGTTCTTCCATGTGTATGTTCTTTATAAAATTGAGTGTNTTCAACGGTATTTTTCCGATAGTTGTAATTATCGGCTGTGAAAGCATGCAATTTCAACGAAAATCGAATATTCTAATAGAAATCTCTAAGAAAAACTACAATTGAAAACCTTAAATTCCATTAAGTCCAATAGAAAATTAAATTACAACATGATATTTTTGTGAATTTTAAACATTTCAATATACTAAATTTATAATATTAAAATATCTATTGAAATATTCTGGCTGAATGATTTGTTGAAATGTGAGAATTTCCATCTTGGTTTTGTATTCTAAATTGGGATTTCAATATTTCCATCTTGGCTTTAATTTCTAACTCTTCACTAGTTATTTAAAGGGGAAGAAAATATAAAATTAAGAGAGAAATTTTGTTGCAGGGTGAATATTAAACGAGATAGTATCCAATTCTCTGAGAACTCGATGGTCCACGAAAAGACAGATACACATATCAGTGGAGGCATTTTAAAGTGTAGGACCATAATATTCATAATCTTGAACTGAAATGAAATATTGGGACCAGTCATACTTAATTTTCTTTAAAAATAGTTTGTTAGTTTATAATAACGCATATTTATGTTTTATTCATGACTTTTGGGACCAGCAAATTTCCATTTGGTGGGCAGATAATTATAATTAGGAGAAAATATGCTAACACTAGTCCCACAATTATTAGAATAGTTCTTTTCTAATGCACTTTCTAATATTAGATTATAAAATTTATCCAAATGAAGACAATACTCCTGCCAGAAATGATACGCCACATCAACATGTCCGGTTAACTGATATGTGACCTCCACGTGACATTTAGAAAATTTTAAAAGTAATTCCTTAATTTGAAAAATATTTAGAAAGTAGTCCCATTTGAACCAGAATAATCAAATAGGGGGACCATTCCTCCAAAANTGGACCATAATGATAACGCATAATATATTTTGATTTCTTGGTGTACTTTTAAGATTTGCGTTTCGTTGGCCTTATTGTTTATAAGGGTTTAGTTTTTTCCTTGTGCGTGTTGTTCGTCTTATCCATTAATTTTGTGGTTCAAACAGTCAGGTATATGAGATAGCATTAGAGCTCTTCACTTATATATTTTTGTAAAGATTATTGTGTGTGGACTGTGGTGAGAAAAGTAAATAAATAAATAAATGGGTATTTTATCTCCCTTCATTCTCTCTCCAATTTGTCATATTTCTTTATGAAAAATTACATTCCCAGCCAAAGTTGTCCCTATATTGGCAAATTTTAAAACTTACCGGACAAATATTGAATAACTGAACTATTTTTAAAACATCTTCAGAGTTGCGAGCTCTGTAAAGTTGTTCTAGGTGCTCGAATGATTTAACATACTTTTTAAAAAATTAAATTAAATTTGATTTTTGCGCATGAAATTGATATTAGTTATGTAATTAAATAATTATGAATACACTAGATTTCGCACAATCTTTGTATTTGACGATATTAATAATTAGCATATTTAATAAAATATATCTTATTAATTATGCATGATCACTAATAATATAACTACATTTATTAATAATTCCTTGACGTCCTAGGCGTTAAGCCTCAATCTTATGAATTATGTATATCAATCAATTGCATTTTGATGTGATTATTTTTAATACGCCATCTAAAGACAGTAGTAATTTTGATTTTTCCCCTAATACTAATACTAAGGCTGATTATAGGTCGGTACAGTTCGAAAATTGATAAATTTGCAGAACCGTAACGAAGTTTGGAGATCACTAAAATTCGATCTTCAGAACAATACCAAAAAATCGGTTCGGTCCGGTTCGGAAATTTTTATTTTTCGGTTCGGTTCGATTTTCGGGACTATCGGAAAGGTTCAGTTTGGTTCGGTTCGGATATTCGGAGATTTCTTATCATTTTTTAAATTTTTTTGAATGACCACCTAGTTATATTTTATTTTTTATATATTTTTTTTAAAAAAAACATTCGTCAATACTTCATCATATATACTTATAAAGATTTTATTTTTAAATCAACTTTAGAAGTAACCCTAAATTTTAGTTAAAACTAAATTCAACTAACATTGAAAATTTAAAATTCAAACAAAATATAATGTAGTTTTATATTAAAGTAATATTTATTTAACATTTCATACCATGTTAGTTATAAGATAAACTAAGGCTAAGTATCGACAACTTTAAGTAAAGCTTAAATATTTTTTTTTTAAATCTTTAACCTTTCATTCCATTTTAAGTTTTTCTTAAACAAGAGAAATTCAATTGTAAATAAAGTATTACTAAACATGAAATGTAAGTGAATCTTAATTGTTATTACTATATTTTATTTGCATTTTAAAAATTCTCAAATCATATAGGATCAAAGTTGACATAAAATATATTAATAACACGCATCTATTTTTATAATTCGGTTCTTAATCTAAGTTTTTCGTTTCGGTACAGGACGGGATGGTTCGGTTCGGTTCGGTTCTCGGTACGGATATTTATAAAATATGCAGAACCGTACCAATTATTTTTTCGGTTCGGTTTGGAGAAAGTCAAACGGTCAAAGGATATTTTTTGGTTCAGAGTGATTTCGGCTCGATTTTCAGAACGGTTCGAATATGCACAGCCCTAGTCTAATACCAATAAATTGTCTAGTCCTATTATACAGTTTTGTTTGCCAAGAGCTTTTAAAAAAAATTAAAAAAAATAAAAAAATAATACCAATTAATTAAGTGTAATCATATTTTAGTCATACTTATTTTATCATGCAATAGTTATTACTAAAATCAACTAACTATAATTTACACTAAATGGTATATGTGTGTTACGTAATCATCAAAAATTATATTGCAGTATTTATCAAGCTATTTTTATTCTGAAGTAATCTTAGTGTTTTAATTATATAATTAATTTAATGGCATGAAAAAATACCTTAAATTTTTCTATAATAATAATAATAATAAATATTATTGTTTAAATAGTTTTCTAAGTAATTAATTGGTTATGATCTTTCAAAGTAAGAAAAATACATCATGTATTATATATTATGCAGTCAATATATAGATTCATGTTTGGTTAAATAATATTGTTCATTTACTAGTAATAAAGATTATAAAATGTGATATATATATATTATCTATTTTATAATTTTAATATTTCATCTACACATAATTTATGATACTTTATAATTTATATTTGTACTACTAGTGAAGCAATATTTTGGGTGATTAATTAATCAATTTAGATGTTGCACCGCCAATCTTCAAACTGCGCGTGTGCATTAAGAAGAAAGAAAATATGCGACTTCCTTTCGTTCCATTTCCTTTATTTATTATTTTGGTCTTATTCTCATGCCTATATGTAGAAAAGAGGATATAACGACGCGCACTATTTTTTTGACGATTAAAGTAAATTTATGTTTTCAACCTATGCTGAAAGTTCTTTCGTTATTTCATTAAAGCCTTGAGCTCAAAGCAAATCTTGAACTGTTTTTGATACAGATGGAGTAGTAATTGCGTTAATTAAAACGTTGTTTATGTTAAATTAAACTTCCCTTTTCATTAATCTTGTGATTATTTCTTATTTTTATAATCTCTGTCACTGTTACATATTTTTGAGTTATATTAATGATATTAATTAAGTTGTGACAGTTTCACCAGTACGGAACTACTAAATTTCGTTAGGTGGTGATTTGTTTATGATTGCATGGCCCAAGTTATTAAAAACACTGTGAAGCCTAATTACTAAAGGTCCCAAATTTTCTTGTTTTCCCATTTTATTTAAAGCATC